CATTGTTCAACTACAGGCAGACTAAAACAGCACAGAAAATCAATGTCGTCATGCACAACTCCTGTTCGCTGATTGGCCCGGTTGAAAWTCTACTGGAAAAATCCATGTCAATGAGAGARAGCCCAGAMAGAGCAGTGAAGGGAGATTAGAATTGAGCTGAAATGCATAGSAAGGCAATGGCCAGGCTAGACTTGACTCAACTTTTTTTTCCTACTTGGATTATTGGGCTGCATCAGGACAGCAGGATAGATAGTTTTGTTGTTTCTTTACTCTATGATGTCGCAGATGTTTGAAGAGTTGAAGGAAACTCTTTTTCTTGTTAACCATGGAGATGGACCCATCTTGCTAAATTAACTACTGGGTTCTGGGAGCAGACCATTTTCAGCGAAATGACATGCAGAAGAAGGTGCTGTTYCACATAAACAAAACCGCCCATGGATTTCTGGCCAAGCACGCACTGTGAGTCACATAGGTTTGTAGGACACAGTTCTACCTGGGGGGCCAATGCACAAGACAGGGTATCAGCAGGAGTTAGGAAATGAAGGCTACGCAATTTGCATCATGCACAACTGTAAGCAAGACCTGAGAATGGAAAGATTAAGGCCTCCAACTACTCTGCAGTTGTATGAMAAAAATTGCATGAGTTTGTTTGAATCTTCGAGTCTTCCACTCCTTCTTGTCACAGCCCGCCAGATCATTTCATCCCCCTCTGTATAAGAAATTATTTTGTGATTGGTCAGAAATTTGTGGGTGTGTTTGTTTATGATGAAAGCGGACACTGCGGCTGTGTCTCAATTCATGGGMTGGGTCTTCATGAGGACCCAGCCTAGCTGGGCCATGTAGGTCACGTCCTCGCTGGGCCGGGTAGGCTGCTCAAAACTGCTGTGAAATGAGACGGTCTACCCTTCGCCTGACGTCGGCTTCACGTGGGTTTGCATGACAACGTGCTCCCCCGTTACCATAGTGATCAGTTTCATGTCGGATTTAAAATGCGCCGTAACGTATTTACACGTGTTTTTACTGGAAGAACAACTTCACTATTAAAATGTTACACATAAATAAAAAAAACATTAATAATTCGGGTTTAGCTCCAGTATCTATGATGGAGTATTAGGA